GGGGGAAGCAGGAATGAGCAGCCCTGAGAAGGAAGGGACGGGAGGAAGGCTGGTGGGAGGTGCCCTACCTCTCAGGTGGACTGTCCACACAGGATGGACGTGCTGGAGAGGGCCAGTGGGGTCACTCATCAGGTGGAGGCATCACAGTCTCAAACGCCTCAGGGGCCAGGAGGGCAACTTGGATGTGTGGGGAGGGTGGAGGTAAGCCACGGGGAGTGTGAGGCCTGTGTTCAGCTGGAGGGGGCACGCCCCGCCTCAAAGCATTCCATTTCCGGGTCTTTTAAAACACTGTGCCAGCCAAGCAAAATACGGCTGCAGCACTCAGTGGTCATCTGCCCTCTGGCCCAGTCTGTGGTCTCTGCTTCAACTCCAACTCTTTCTAAGAGAACCTGCCCTCAGCACAGCCAACTGTGGGAATGAGTCTGGGGACCATGCTTGGATGAGGTGAAAGTTGGTTGGACCAGGGCAGACACCTGACCCAGGTGGCCAATCAGAGCCTCTCTCCCCAGAATTGGCATTGGGCACTGGATGACCAGCCAGCTGTGGGGAGTGGAAACAGAAGGTCATATAGTCTCAGGAAAGAAAGGGTGAGGCTGAGAGAGACCTCAGAGCCTCAGGAGGATGGGAGGAGTGGCCTCTCTTCTGACTTTCAGGGTCCAGCCCCTGTGCAGCCCAGATGCTCTTCCCTTCTTGCCCTTGGCTGCCTGGAAGCCCTGCCCACTGTATCCTTACAACACACCCCCTTCTATCTACATCCAAGGGGATTGATTACTCGTCTTAGCAGCCAAATAATCCCTGAAGATGACACTGCTTACGAGAAAGGAGAAGGCGAGCTCTAGGATGTGGGACAAAGCGCCGCACTCACCTGTACTGGGCCATGTCCAGCTTGTTGCCCAGCAGCAGAGCAGGGTAGCTGCGCTGCGTCTCCTTCTCATGCAGAGCGAGCAGCTCCAGGTAGCTGCTGCTGCCCTCGAAGCTCTGGCGGCTGTCGACGCTGTACACCACCAGGAAGGCGTGGGCCCAGTTCAGG